GAATGTTTGCCTCACGCTGAATTTGCATATAATCGTACGTTGCATTCATCGACACACATGTCTCCTTTTGAGGTTGTTTATGGCTTTAATCCTCTAACACCTTTGGATATGTTACCATTGCCTAGCAATGAGTATTTTAATAGTGATGGCAGGAAACGGGCTGAATTTGTGAAGGAGATGCATTCAAAGGTTCGGGATAACATTGCAAAATCAAACGCTCAGTATACTAAAAGTGCTAACAAAGGTCGAAAGCATGTAGTGTTCCATACTGGCGATTGGGTGTGGTTGCACTTGAGAAAAAATAGATTTCCTGATAAACAAAAGTCTAAGCTGAGCCCAAGAGGAGACGGACCATTCCAAGTTGTGGAACGCATCAATGACAATGTCTATCGTATTGAACTACCGGGTGAGTACCAAGTTCATAGCACATTCAACGTTGCTGACTTAAGTCCTTTTGATGTAGGAGATGAACAGACTATGAAAATGGGGGACTCAATTTTTCAAGAAGGGGGGGATGACGAGGTCGTCAAAGGCGACGATGATCCTACACTACCACCAGGTCCGATTACTCGAAACCGTGCCAAGAAGTTTCAAACTAATATTATGGCATTAATTCTACACTTGGAAGAGAAGAACATGCATAAAGTTGAAGCATGGAGGCCAATGGGAAGAGCATTGTCAACATTGAAGTGCATCCATCCTTGAAGACTACAATTTATAACACAAATGAGAGTTTCTACTCACATTATTACCCATGTGGGATAAGAGGTGTTTTATTTTATTTAATAAAGTGGGTCCCGTCAATCTAATTAATTGCACATCTCTTATTTACTTAGTTAGTAGGATATAAATAATATATATTTTTGTCCCACATTGGTTGTAGAGTCTTTTGCTAAGCTAGCCTCCCCTATAAATAAGGCACTTGGCTTCACTTGTTAGACACCTTGAAATTTATATCAATTAAAGTTTTTCTCTTTATTCCATTATATTGGAATTAGTGTGTGAGCGAGGTTTACCCTTGCATACGTGTATCATTATCAAATCAGGTCATTGGGTTGATTCCTTGGGTTAGTAGCTTCCGAAACTGACCGGAGTTTCTAGTCAAATAGTTCGAGTCTCCATTGGTTTAGAGGTGTTGGGTCTAGGCAACACTTGGGTTCACATCTGATTGATTGACGAATCGGAGTTTTTTTTTAATTTGAATATCGATTAGTATAGTTTAGTTACTTGGACTGCGTCAGATAGTAAAGAAATTTAAAAAACCAAGAAATTTTGAAGTCAGAGATTTTCCTAAAAGAATTTAAGGATTTTTATTTTTGAGACAAATGAAAGATATAGAGTCGAATAACCCTTGCAGTTGATTCGGAACACACAACGGACCTAAAGTGTGTTTGGTTGATTGGCTTTTGATTTTAAGAACTAAAGAAATGTTTAAAATTTATATGAGATCCTTTGTTATAATATATTTCATATTTTTTTTCTTTTGTTTTTCACTTTATTTTCCATTGAAGGTACACATTTTTGTTAGTTATTTTTTAAAAAGTCTAATTCAACCTTTATTATAGCTATTTTTTTTTTTAATTTTTTAACTATCTATGTTTTGTTACTAAATACACATGTCATTTTTATTATTATTATTATTATTATTAATACATCAATAAATACATATATACTAATTGCACTTATTCATTTATGATAACGATTTAATATTAATATGACTAATTTTTTAGAGTCACATTTTAAAGAAAGAAGAAAGAAGAAAAAGAGAAGGCAAAGAAGAAGATTGAAGAAACAGTGAGAAGTGGGGGTGGAGGGCTAATTAGGAAATTATGTTTTAATTTAGTTAAAATTGTTATTTTAATTTAATTTTTAATTGTACTCCTTCTCTCGCCACAAATAATCCATTTTTTTTTGTCCGCTCCCATCAAAGATAACCCTTTTTTTATTTGTAGTAAATTTATTATCATTAAACACATTTAACAAATATAAATCATTTAATCAAATTTCTAACTTATTTATTTTTATCTCCTCAATTAAAAAATATTTTTGTTTACCTTTAAAACTCTTCATTTTTTTTATAAAACTATGATAATGATAAATAAATTTATTTATTTATTTATTTATTTGTATTATATACAATTTTTCTCTCTATAAAAATGATATTCATATTATATATATTGTATTGAGATATAATGTTAAAAATCTTTAAACACATATTTTAAATTTCTTTTAATCATTAAATAACTAACTCCATTACCTAAATAACTAATCTATATTACCTAAATTTCCGTGCCCAAACAAAAAGCTCCATTTTTGCTCGGACAAAGGGAGTATATAATAATTTTAATTTTAAATAAATAATTCTATTAATATTAATTATATATATATATTAATAAATAAGTACTATATATATGATATATTATTTAAAATTATTTTATATTTAGTTTGAAATTTAACATTGAAGTTATTGTAGTTGTAACAAAAGAAAAAAAAGTTGATCAAATCGAAAAAATCATTTGTTATGGAAATATTCGGAACAAAAAATAGTTTTTGTAACGAAAACATTGTATCGGATAAGATTTTGCTATAAATGACCATATTTTTTTGTAGTGCCACAAAGTTGGGTCCGTAACAAAAAAGAAGTCAAGTCTATTGGCTTTTGTGGCAATAAAAATTTTATTCGACGCAAATACGCCTTTTGTACCGTATTTGTTGTTACGGACACTTTTTTGAAATAAAAAAAATTCACGGTGAGTACCACAAACTTTGTTGCGGACTAGTTTGTAACAAAAGATTTTTTAAACGAGGTATATGTAGTGTATTTTTTTTTTATCATGGACATATTTCCGTAACAAAAAGATCTCTACAATGAAGTTTACTTTTTGTTCCGCATTTTTTGTTATAGACATATTCCGCTAAAAAAAGAATTTCTGACAAGAACACCAATTTTGTACGATATTTTTTGTTGCGGACATATTTCGTAGCAAAAACATAATCGCACTTTTTGTTGTGGACGATAAAATATAACAAATATAATTAACACATGAATATTAAAGGCGTTGACCGCCACTTATTTGTTACGAATTTTTTCGCAACAATAACCTTTTTGTGCCGCAATTTCTCATACCGTTCAAAATCCGTAACAATGTCAATACAAAAGAATTTTTTTGCATGAAAATAACATTTTTGTTACGAGCCTTTTACTACTACAAAAAGTCAGTTTTTTGGTAGTGTAATAATCGATCCAAACGTTTTATTGAACTGCATCATAGATTATTGAGTTCCGTACAATTGTGTTGTATAATATGATTTAAGTAATTTTAACACTTGTCTTTATATGTGTATATATATATATATATATATAAACAGAGGCGGAACCGGACAGGATGAAAGGGGGACTAATTTTTAAAATTTTGAAACGATCATCATCTATTTTTATCCAATAATTTTATCAATGGAGTTATCATATTTCGAAAATCTTACAAAATATCAATCTACATTGACAACTGCATATTACAAGATGAATTTTGTATTATATGAAATTGATAAATAATAAAAACATTTATTAAAAAGAAAAAACTGTTAAAAATATCATTTTGGGTGTATTTAGTTGAGAAATTTTTGAAGATTTTTTTTTAATTATTATTTATTACTCTTTTGTTCATATTTATTTTTATATTATCAAAAAATTATTATGATATAAATTTTTTTATTATTCAAAATTTATTTTTCATATAAATATTCTATCAATTTTTTGTAATTTTTTAATTTATTTATTATTTTTTATATTATATGTTATAAAATAAAAACAAAAAATTAAAAATTATAAGGGATTGGAGTGGGGGGAGAGGGGGCTTCAGCCCCCTTGCCTCACATACATCCGCCCTGTATATAAAACATTATAAAAATATTAGATTGAATTAACGTAATGACTAGGCCTGATCCATTAAATTTCATTAATCGAATGATCCATGCATGATGACTGTTAAAAAATTCAGAATATAATTGCCATCAAAATACACACAAATTTAATGACGATGATTTCAGTTTTTGTTTTATTATACAACATTTGCGATTTCTTATAAAAATATACTAATTATTTTATAAAATATCAGATTAAAAGTATTAAATATAAAAAATCAAATCAAATGCTAAACGTTAATTTCATTATCCACCTACCAAAAATCTTCAACCACTTGTGAAAAAAGGTAAATTATAATATAATTTTGTACCATTAATGCTCTGTTTATTTGTAGGAAATCAATTGTATTGAGATTTGGATTTTGAATACTAACATTTTTAATATAAATAATTATTTAATAAGATACAGATAGATAAAATATTATTTTATATAAAATAAAAAATAAAAAAATAAATATTCAGTTTAATATTTCAAAAAAATTATATGAATAATATAAAAATAAGTGAAAACTTTCGAACAAACAAAGTCTAAAATTAAATCTTGTAAATTATAATTATATTATATCAAATTATAGTAGAAATGATTGTTATTATTTACAATTTCTCCCTCAGTTTGTTATACACGTACTAAAATAGAATAAAAAATCGAAACAACCTTTAAAACTAACATAACTACCAACATGCGAAAGAAATCATCCTAACGGACCAATTGAACCAAAAAAAGAAAAAACACAACCCTATTTTCCGTCCAAATATATCGCATAATTCGACAACCCAAACTTTGCTTGTACGATGATTCCAACAACGTGTTCGAATCCCATTTTTTGTCGAAACATTTCCATCCATTGTCAAGAGGGATTTTCTATTTTTGGATCAATCTCATATAAAAAAAACACATTAAGTTTTCCTATTAAATTTAATGTTGTTTAGACACCCCCTAAGGGACTTCATTAATTTATCCTTCACCCTATTCCGCGAAAGCCATTAAGAACAAGAACTCGAAGGAGGTGGAGGCGGAAACAAACAAACAAAAAAAAAAAAAAACGAAAAAAGAAGAAAAAATTATAAGATAACTAAGGATGTCGACGTTCACAGGAACATTGGACAAATGCAAGGCTTGCGATAAGACTGTTTATTTCTTGGATTTGTTGTCTGTCGACGGACAAACCTATCACAAATCTTGCTTCAAATGCAGCCATTGTAAAGGCACCCTTGTTGTGAGTACTCCAAACTCTTTGTTCTTACATTCATATATATATATATATATATATATATATGTATTATTATTGATTTCAATATAAAATTACAAAACACGATAATATAGTCTATACAGTACATGCCAATAATTGATCCAAATTCATGCCACATGTTAATATAGCATAAAACATGGTATGAACTGACAGCACATGATAATAATTCACACAACACATGCTATTTTAATTCCACATATCTATTTGTGTATTATTTCCACATGCTATTAAGATGTTGATTAACGCTAGCGGTCTCCACAAACACACACACACACATATATATATATATATATGGATAGTACAAATGATTTGTATACGACAATCACGCATGTATTCGCTCGATTTATTTTATTACAACAATTTGATGGCAGATGAGCAACTACTCGTCGATGGATGGAGTTCTCTACTGCAAGCCACATTTCGAGCAGCTGTTCAAGGAGTCGGGAAATTTCAGCAAGAACTTCCATACTACTGGTAATTAATTAAGATCTTAACAACACAATTTCTTCGACCCCAAATATCCATCTTCTTTAACCTCTAACTTCCATGGCTAATATACATACATATATATATATATATGTGTTTCTGTTCACAGCCAAACAGGATAAGGATGGTTCAAAGGCACCAAACAAACTGTCAGCCATGTTCTCAGGAACACAAGACAAATGTGCTGCCTGCACCAAGACTGTCTATCCTCTTGAAAAGGTTAACTAACTTCATCATATATATATATATATATATTATACATCCATCTACTGCCAATCTATCCATTTGTGTTTGGCATCATTATTTTAATATATTTATATTTGCATAATGTTTTGTACAAATATCATTACAACAGAAGCATTTTTCCATTTTTCTTTAATTTGTACTACGTTTTGATATAATAAAAATTAATATTTAAAGATGAACATGCAAAAACTAAATGGGTTAATTGACGGTGGATGGACGAAAGTAATATAATTTTTGTAATAATGTAAGCCTGATCGATCTTTTATTTAAATTTAACATACATACATATATGTTTTGGCATGGGGCAACGAAAATGGATGATATTTTGCAGATGGCAATGGAGGGAGAAGCATACCACAAATCATGCTTCAAATGTGCCCATGGAGGCTGCCCTCTCACCCACTCCAACTACGCCGCTCTCGACGGCGTCCTCTACTGCAAACATCACTTCCAACAACTATTCATGGAAAAGGGAAATTACCAACATGTCCTCCAAGCCGCGACTCACAAGCGCAACAACTCCTCCGACCAGCCCCTCGACACTGAATCTCCCGGCCAGACCCCCGTCGATCACCCCAAGCACCATCAAGACAAGGAAGACGCCAAAGAAGATGACGGCGGCGATGAGGCTAAAGATGCTCCTGAAAACCAACCTGAACCTGAACCCAAACCCGACCATGATGAACATGGAGATCACAAGTCAGAAGAATAGAGGGATTGAGTTCATATAATTTTTTATTTTATTTTTTCTAATTTTATATCTTTCAAGCTAAATTATTGATTTTTTTTTGCATTGCTTGTTTAATTTTTTTGTTGTTGTTGTTACGGTATAAGGTTGTTTTGGGGATTGGAATTTGAAACCCCATAGTATAGTATTTATAAGTCTATGAGTTTTTGTCAAAGTATGTTTCATAGTGTTAAAAGATGTATGATTTACATATCTTGATTAAACTCATTTGTACATTTTATTTTTTCTACTATATAATTTTTATCCTAATTATGTTTATTACTCTTTCTTTTGTTCAAATTTACTTTTACTTTTCTTTTTAAACTTCTTTAAAACAAAAATTCGTTTATCTTTTTAGTTAAAAAAATATATTCCATTAGTCCTATTGAAATATTGTCATTTTTTATTTTTTTCTGTTCCAAAATAAAGTAATAATTTTCTAATTTAATAATTGTACTACATACTCAACATAAAAAAATATCATTCCAACTTATATTACAGAAATGCCATTAATTTATATAACACAATACTAATAAATGTATTTTTATCTTTTTTACTACAACCGGATATAATATTAATATTAAAAAATTTATATGCAAAAATAAACGAAAATCTTTCTACGGGACGGAGGAAGTATTAGTTTCATCTACTAGTAAAGTTTATATTTATTTTTAGCATTGATTGTTGATAGTACTTTGTGTGTAAAGATTTATTTTTTACGTTTGTGTTTTAACCGTATTAGTGTAAATTTGAGAATGTTTATAATATATATTGTGGTCAAACATAGTAAATATATATATATATATATATTTATTGTGATTAGAGAGATAAAAAATTAAATGTGTAAACCTTTAGAAATATATTTACTACAAAGATAAAAAAAAATAATAATAATTATTACTCATTCTTGTTAAAATATGTATCCACGTGTTGTATCCATAATTAATCTATACAAACACAATTAAAAGGGTAAATTATATAATACCTTAATGTATTTTAGTAAAAATTGCATAAAATATCTTGCGTTTTACTTATTGCATGAAACCTTTATGTGTTAATATAAAATTTGCACGAAACACTCTCCTTGTCCAAAACTTATTATTTGATTCTAAATAAAGACCTATATTACGCAAGTTTAATACAAATAAAAAATACAAAATATTTTAAATAATTTTTTTGAATAAAATAAATAAATAAATAATTTATTAATCCTTCAATTTATAGTTTTTGGAAACAAATTGTTATCTGAGTTTTATAAAAACTATGAAAATAAATGATTGATCAATTATTTATTTATTTATTTTATTAAAAAAAAATTATTTAAAATATTTTACGTTTTTTATTTGTATAAAACTTGCGTAATTTAAGTCTTTATTTATAATCAAATATCAATTTTGAACAAGGAGAGTGTTTCGTGCAAACTTTATATTAACACAAAGGATTTCACGAAATAAATAAAACACATGATGTTTTGTGCATTTTATTGAAACACAATGATGTATTATATAATTGGGTAAATTGATTTTTTAGTCATGTAATTGGACCCTTTTATCATTTTAGTCCCGTAATTGGAGGCTGTCTTAAAATAGTCCCGTAAGTGAAATTTTTTCGCAATTTAGACCTCAATGTCTATGTGGCACATGCGTGGTATGCTGACGGACACGTATCGACCAAGTCAACGCCACGTGGCTGACACATGTCCGCCACGTGGATTATTTTTATATTTATTTTTTTAAATATAAAAAAATTTACAAATATAAAAGTAAAAATAAAATATAAAATATAAAAGTAAAAAATAAAATTTAAAATAAATAAAATAAAAAATATTTAGATATCCGTCAATTCAGCGTCACATGATCATTAATAATTTATATATTAGTATATTTTTATTTTAATATAAAAAATATAAATTATCCACGTGTCGCTAATATGAGGGACATGTGGATAATTTTTATTTTTTTATTTGAAATTTTTTAATTTTTATTTTTATATTTTTTAATTTTATTTTTTATATATTTTAGAAATTTAATTTATTATTTTTTATTTAACAAATAAAATAAAAGTTATCTACGTGGCGGGCACGTGTCAGCCATGTGCCTCTGATTTGGCCGACACGTGTCCGTCGATATGCCACGAAGATGCCACATAAGCATTTGAGGATTAAATTGAGCATATTTTTCACTTACGAGACTATTTTAAGACAACTTCCAGTTACGAGACTAAAATGATAAAAAGGTCCAATTACACTAAAAAAACAGTTTATCCTATATAATTTACCCAATTTCAAAATATCACTCGCCTACTTATTTTCAATTGTATTATTTTATATATCCAATTTCAACATTTATAGCGTGTTATTTTAATAAAAAATATATATTTTTCCAAAAAATATTTTCGAAAAAAATTAATATATCACACACCTTCATTATTTTTATATTACTTACATAATTTTCTATATCAAACATAAAAAAATATCTTTTCAAATTATTTAACTAAACAAACATACCCTTAATTTTTTTAAAAAATTTTCATATCCATTTCTTTTCAATTAGCTCTTTAACAAAAAGGCCAGAAACGAAAATTTTTCGGACAATGTATTAATTCAAATTTATTTCAATCATTCAATTTTTTAAATGTCATTAATCTCACAAATTCTAATATTTTAATATTAAAACAAATAAAGATTATATAATATTATTACAACTTATATAAATTAATATTTTAAAATCAAAATATACTACTATTATATAATAAATACTTCCTCCGTCCACCTTAAAAGTTTACATTTACTTTTTGGGTGTTGCTCTTTAAATATTAATTATTATATTAAAACATAGTATAAATTAAGTAAACAAGACAAAAATACTTCTATTAATGTCTTATAATACAAATACAATGATATTTGTATACAAACTTATACAAATACAATGATATTTTTAATCACTACAAAAAAAGGCTATTTGTATTGAAATCTTAGTCGCTACAATTTTCTTGCTACAGAAGCTATTTTTCGTTCCAGATATTACCGTAACAAATGGTATTTTTGGTATGGAAAACACCTATTCTTTTGTTGCGGTATATTTCCGTTATAACTACAATAATTTTATTTTAAATTTCAAAATAAATCTAAAATAATCTAAAATAATATATCATATTTACATATATATGTATGTCATATATAATTCATACATAATACTTATATATTAATATATACAAATTAAAATTAAGGTAATTATTTATTTAAAAATAATAAAATTTCAAAATAAATCTAAAATAATCTAAAATAATATATCATATTAATTTACATATATATGTATGTCATATATAATACATACATAATACTTATATATTAATATATACAAATTAAAATTAAGGTAATTATTTATTTAAAAGTAATAAAATTTCAAAATAAATCTAAAATAATCTAAAATAATATATCATATTAATTTACATATATATGTATGTCATATATAATACATACATAATACTTATATTAATATATACAAATTAAATACTTATATATTAATATATACAAATTAAAATTAAAATAATTATTTATTTTAAAATAATAAAATTTCAAAATAAATCTAAAATAATCTAGAATAATATATCATATTAATTTGCATATATATGTATGTCATATATAATACATGCATAACAATTATATATTAAAATATACAAATTAAAATAAAAATAGTTATTTATTTTAAAATAAAAGTATTCTAAAAATAATAAAAATCTACCATAACCCTAATTAGCAGCAGTCGCGCGCCGCAGCCCCCTCTGTTCGTCTTCTTTCTTCTTCTTCTTCTTCCTTTGTCGATCTCCTGGTTCGTCTTCTTCGTCTTCGTCTTCGTCTTCTTCTTTGTGTTCTTCTTCACCGACTGGCTGTCCTCCGCCCTACACCCCTGAACCTCGCACCTCCTCACTGTCTTCGGCCGTCGACCGCGCTCCACCACTGCCCGCGGACGTCCTCAAACGCGAACCGTAGCTTTTCCTGTAAGTTTGGATATGGGATTAATTCTTTCTTTTTTTCCTGCCTAGTTAGGCTTTTCTGATTTTTAATTTTTGTTCGTAATGTTAGATTTAGGGCTTAATTTGTTACATAGATGATGAGAGATTTTGTAATTATATGGTTCGTCTTGACACTACTTGATAATTAGATTCATTCCTCTTGTGCCTTACTTTATGGACGACAAATAGTCTTTTCCAGAAAGAAATTATTCCTGCATTTTTACAAGTAAGAGGTTTAACTCATTACTGGGCAGCTAGATATAATATTTTTAGTTCTAATGGAATTTTTAAGTGGGAAGTTTGTTCATGGCATGCCAAGTTGTTCCTAAAGCACGTGATTAGCATAAACTTTATTTTTACAGGTAAAATTTACTATATAGTTGGTGGAGGCACAACACATATATAAGTTTATATATATGTCTGTGTATTGTTTGTATGAATGAATATTGCAATCAGAAAAAATGAGGGTTGAGTACATCAACCAGAAGAATTACTTGGATTATAAGGTTTGGGGACCACCTCCAAATTTAATTCCAATGGGGACCACATCAATTGGTTGTTTCTCCAAACCTTCTAGAAACTGTTGTATATATGTATATATATATATGTTTGTGTGTAAGAAGATATTGGTGCATTCTGTTGTAGTTTATGTTCCATGCTGATAAAGCACAACAACTGCCAAAAGTCCAGTCTAAATATACCATCATCACTGATATATATAATATTGTTTATGTTTTCTCTGTTACTCGTTATTGCTTTTATAAAGTGTTCTGCTGATTCTTCGATCTACTCATGTGCATTATGGATGACACGAGGCGTCTTTGAAATTGAATAGGTGTGTCATACCCGCCATTGAGGGACAACGTACTTTTAGGCAGAAGTCTAAGCGTCGATCCAAGCTTGCTGCATTGTAGTAAGTTATTCATGCATCGATAGTATATCACATTACTTGTATAGTTTTTATGATATGAACATTCGAATTATAGTGTTGATATTCATATTTTTAGTTCAATACTACTATTTTCGGTGGTTATATAAGCCGAGGCAGGTTAGTATTAAGAAAGGCCTTGTTGAGATTAGGGAATTTATGTCTGAATTTAGGAGTGCCAGCGTTGAGATGTCTGAAATTAGAACCATCCGTGCTGAGATGTCTGCTTTGTTGAATTCTTCCCCGCGTGCCTCGATACGGGGCCCTGTAAGAATGCATATCTCGTGTATTAGTTAGTTTTACATTGTACCATTTGGGGCCAGTCATGTCGTTTTCATACTCACTTGTGTTGCAGTGTTCTAGCCGCACAGATGGAAGGTCAGAGACGCCTGGGACTGATGTCCTTAACCCACTGACGGTTAGTAATTTTTCGTTGCTAATTTTATTTGTATTTGTTTACATGAATCACCCTTTAAATAATAACATCCACTACTAACGCATCACCACCACCTTCGAGAACATGCATGTAGATTACATGATTGACATATGATAACGTTTTTCATGTAGCTCGGGTCTCGTATTCTTCTCATATCTCATGGTTTGGAAAAACGCGTTGTTGGTGAGGGGGTGTTGCTATCCGACCCTACCCTAGGTTTGCTGTCAACCTAGTTATATTTTCTATATGAAATCGGTTTTGGTTACAACCATTTTGAGTAAAACATATTCTATGGTTATTAGTAAGTCAAAATAGTAATACATGATATGGTGACAATGCTACTTATGTGGAACTGTAATCGGGTGGTTGTTTGCTCTGTATGACCTTGTTGGGTAGCATATAAATACATAATTAAATATAGATTTGTAGGATGGTGGGTAAATTGATTTTTTTCCCCAAACCACTTTGATTTTTGATCTAATTTATTTGTTAGGTATTTGGATACATTAACACTCAATTAATTATTGTTTTTAAATTGGTACATGGTTAAGTTGGTTGTTTAAACAAACAACTTTCACATGTATCAAATAAATTGATCACGTTGCTGGTTGTTTTATACTTGTGGGGGTGTACAGATGTTGGTCCGGATGTCATCAAGATAGGATCCATGCTATAATTATACTTATACTAATCTACGTTTTACAATTTTGATTACGTTGTTGTATGGATGGCTAAATTAAGCGATCATCTCCGACCTTTTCTCTTACGTATGCTATAATCTTTTAGTTAATATCTTTAATCTTTTATATTGATTAAATATTTCATGAGTTTTATTTTCTTACCGATGATTTGCACATATTTTCTTCATATGTCCGTAGGTGACACTGTTGACATAGTAAGGGTTTTTGTTACAACTGCTACTGTTCCGGAGGCTGCGCTTATTCTACGGATAACATTTGGAGCACAAACACTCGGTGAGGTTGTCCGCAGCGAGCCAATCGACTGGACATTCAAAGATGTACGCAACCACATTTACAAGATTTTCTATTCGATTACAACTTAACCATCTCACAAATAAATTCTTATATAATTTTACACAATGTTGGCAGCTTGTTCGTCGCCCGTAACTACGGTGTACGGCCATTTTGACGCTACATGGGGCGTTGCAACATGGCACGTAGTTCTATGCTGATCGACTTTTGTTTGTGGATTGATGCTAACTAAGTCCTTTATGTTGGTTGAACTTGTTGTCTCTGCTACATTTTGTGTGTTTGTTGCTACGCTTTGCCATATATGTTAGGCTATATTGCGAAATATTTATGTTTCTACACAGTGCGTACTTGCTACAATTCATGGTGATACTGAATTTCCGTAATATTTTCATATTTTGTAATGTCATTTGGCCGTATTTTCTCACAGCGTACAAATTTTTCGGTTCCGAAACTATTTTTTTAGGTTATTATTGAAAAAATAAGGGGACTTTTTTCGTTACAAGAAATTGACCGTTACAAATACTGGTACAAAAAATATTAAATAAGTTACTGAAAACCAACTATTGTAACGAAATTATTACCACAACAAAAGCCGTTACAAGTGGATGGACACTTATTGTAACGATTCTTTTATAACAGTAAATGTCCGCTACAAATAAATCGACAGTACAGTGATAGCGTTACAAACACTGTTACAATAAATGTGTTGACCGCCCCTTTTTTGTTGCGGAAAAAGTCGGTACATAGACTTTTTGTAACTCGAGTATATGCACCGGTCAAAATCCGGTACAAAATCGTTATAAATAACTTCTACAAATGGCCATTTTTTTGGTAGTGAATGTTAAGTACAATGACGCAAAAGGTAAATGTAAACTTTCAAAGGGGACGGAGGGAGTATTATTTATGTTATTAAAAAATAAAAATATATAAAAAATAAATAATTATTATAAATTTTATAATATTATAAAAGTAATAGGTAAATGTGATGATGCTATAACAAATATTAAAAGAAATAATTTGAATGTATAAAATGAAAATGTGAGAGACAATAAAAATAGTACAGTACATACACTAACTATAATATATGCTTATATTTTGTAAGAAAAATTAAATTTGATGTAATATTTAAAAGAAAATAAATTAATATTAGTGAACAATATACTCATTTGAGGTTTTTAGTACATTAAAAAATAATATATATTGGAGGTGGATGAAGTGCTAGACCCAATCAAATAAGGGGCTTTTTAGAAAAATGACCTAAGTCAAACTGTCATTTAAAATTCTAGTTCCTAAACGAGCTTTTAAAAGTATTATATTTATATATTATAGTAGTTTTCAAAACTTTTTGAATTTAAAATTATATACAAATCGAAATAATAGGAGTTCTCAAAACTAATATAATTGGTAATGTAAGAGTTTTAAAAACTTTTTTTTTATGAAAAGTAGTTATAAAAACTCTTATATTTTTTTTATTACAGGAATTTTGAGAACTTCTATAGTTTTAATCTTAATTTAGCCCATGATTTTGTTGTATTCCAATATTTTGTTCGTTCCTGTTCATTCCTAAAGCAAAACTTTTGCTGAAGAGAGACATTTTCAGGTATTATTTGTTTGACTTAATTATTTTATAGTTTTCATATAATATTTTGTTTTATATTTTTGGTAGGCAATATTCTATTTTGCATTGTATTTTCAGGTATTTATTGTTTAGTGATTGTTGTATTTCTGCTTGTAATTTTATAACATCTTAGGTGTTTTTTGGTATTATTTGTAAGATTTATATTGATATATTATTCAAATGCATAATGTATTTATGTATATTTCTTATTTTAATATTTTTTATTATGACTTATTTTTTTAATATATTAATTTTATTCTTATTAGTATTTATTTAATATATATATTTTTTACAGAAACAGATGACGAGTAGTGGCCAGAGCAATATTGATATTCTGTTATATTTGGATGGTAACATTATACGAAAGTCGAATACAATAGAATATAATTGTGATCCACAGTGTATGATAGCTGTTCCGCGAGATAGTACATTTGAAAATTTAGAAAGTTTGATTTACCATAAAACAAAACACAAAATTACAATCTCCGCCAACTAATATTTTCAAACCAACAATCAAAACAAAATAGAATGAAAGAGAACAAAATTTTGAAAATCAATTACAATAGAAGAGCGGCACTAGCGGCAATAACAGAGATTGGCAAAAGAAAATCGCAGAAAACCGTACAACGTCGCGCAGAAGAAAACGTCGAAGGAGAAGGAGGTTTAGGGCTTGAATGATATTTATTCTTATTTTTAATAAAAATATTTGTAGTAGTTTTTAAAAATACTATATTTAATAATTTAGAAGTTTTAAAAACTTCTAAACTTAAAAGTTTAGGAGTTTTGAAAACTACTGCAATATATAAATACAGTAATTTTGAAAACTTGTTTGAGGGCTAGAATTTTAAATCGCAGTTTGACTTAGGCCATTTTTTTAAAAAGCCCATCAAATAAGCATGATGTTGATTTAATCGGGTGAAGATATCACATAAATACATACACATATATTTTTGTATAATACAACATATGTTGTGTTATAAAATATCATATGTTGAATTATAATATAAGATATATTGTATTATAAATATGCAATGATCGCAGCCCATTTATTGCTTAGTGAAAATGTGTAAGGAGTTTTGACATTTTTTTTCATTTGACTTTATGTATAAAATATTTGTATTTGTAATTGTAGTATGATTGTAATTTAAGTAAAAATTGAAAGTATTTTGGTATTCGTGTATAATTACTTTACTAAAATAGAAAATAAGTATATATTATTGAGTGAGACAGACGAAAATGATAAAAGTGGTACTTTGAATTGGGACGGAGGGATTATATAGTAGATTATTTGATTAAATTACAAAATACTCCGTCCATCTACTACTAAACTTCTCATTTTCCATTTTAGTGAGTCCAAATCAAAACTTCTTTATGTCTTTTTTGAAAAAAAACATAACTCCAACTAAACCAAAATACCCATACATTTTACTTTTCACATTATTTTTAAAGGATAAAATAGACATTTTATGCTACATATCTATAAAACACCAATTTATCATAATTTGTATGCAAAAGTCAAACGAAAAGTTTACCATGGGATGGAAGGAATATTATTAATACTAAAAATTTGAAATTATATGGAGTATATATTTATTTAGAGTAAACTGTTTTTTAGTCTCGTAACTGAGGGCTATCGTAAAATAGTCCCGTAAGTGTAAATTTTTCTCTATTTAGTCCTCATGCCTATGTGGCATTTGCGTGGCATGTTGGCGGACAAGTGTCGGCCAAATCAATGCCACGTGGCTGACACGTGTCCGCCACGTAGATAATTTTTTATTTTATTTTTAAAATTAAATAAATAATAAAATTAAAGGGAAAGTTGATTTTAAATTCCTCTGACACATAATAAGTTAAAGTTCAGTCCCTCTTAATAATAAATTGACCTGCACTCCCTTCTTTTCTGATTTGATTTGAATAAACTCTCTGTTGGTATATTAGTCATTATTTTAATTTATAAATATTAAAAAGTAAAGAATACTCCGATGTTATATACATGTGCCTACAGAATTATTATATATACCCATAACTCTTCCCGCTCTACTTACTATGTTCTAAATATATACCTACGTATGATTGTTATATACCTTTGCATATTTTTTTTTTGAAAAAAATAATAATTAAGGAACAGTTACAAACACGATTTGATAGTGGAGTGAGGAAAAACCAACTCTCACAACTCGAAAACGAATATCTACCCAACTTTCACAATTCTCACTGGCAGCCGATCGTTCTTATTTCCGCTCACCGTCTTCTGAACTGAAAAAATATGGTGAAGAGGAAGCTAGAAGTGAGCCCATCACCCCGAAACAGCGAGAAGAAGTAAGTTTTTTTTTTTCGTTCTTCCAAATTTTTTTATTTTATTCACAAATTTTGACCCCAGATTGTAGGTTTGATTGTGGTTTAAACCTCGACCGCAATATTGATGCCTCCGTTTGTCCTCTAAAAATCCTCATTTTCTGGAAGTAGTACTTGGGCATAGTTATGTGTTTAGGGTTTAGCGTTTTATATTTCCGAAAGGTTTTACGGGACAATGAGTTTGATTTGGTTACAATTGTTTAATTTTTACATATTGGTTCGTTGTTTTAAGAATATTAATCATGTTTAGAGG